GCTGACTTGGGAGAGAGGCAGCGAGTGAGGCGACGGTTTTTTTGGACTCTTGACAGCAGAGGATGCGTGGGCGCTTTGGGGAGGGCAGGCAAGGCGGGGCCACAAACTATCATCCAGCGGGCTGCAAATGGCCCCCAGGCCGCATGTTTGAGACCGCTGATCTACAGCAATATCTCCCAATGTTTGTATTTTTACTTAAAAAGCAGTAATGTGCCTGACTGCTATGGGAAAGATAAACCCTCCAACCCACCTAATTTTCTCCAGTCCTGTAGGATTTAAAGTAACTGTAAAAGTGCAGCAGGCTAGTAAGAGGACTTCAAGGTGTAATGGCCAAAACCCTTTTGGTGTTTGTGCAAGGTTCATGTAATTTGCCGCACTAATTACCGCTAACTGCCAAGATGCTCGGGCACATCTCAGTTGCACAGTCAGTCATGCAACTGCGACCAAGACATGCCCTGGTGCCTCTTTAGTTAGCTGTGGCCAGTTATGCAAACCCGAGTGGAATCAGAAATAACCACTCAAAATGCTCATGGTAAAAACTCACTTTATTGTTTCAAAAAATCAATTCACCATAAAACCTAGACTTGAACACAGAACTTCCTCGAACTGGCTTCCATGTGGACAAATAGACTGACGACCAGCCTGCATGCACTCTCGTAGCTGGCCTTTCATTGAAGGAGGAGGGGAAAGAATAAGCTGTTTCCTAAGGGGGAAGTGTCTTAAGGACAACAAACAACAAATAACTATTTCTCTCTCTCTAGCGCACCCACTGGTTACTCGAACAAGAGCACAACTGCACACTTCTTAACAGATATGCCACAATAGAAAAAAAATACATGCACACATTTTATCCTGTAAAAAACTTCTGCGGAATATTAGTTATGAAGCTAGGCATGTACTTTTTGAAATACTTTTCCATCTACTGCACATATAGTATGCTGTTATCAAAAATAGATAAATGAGGCAGTGTAGTACTCCTTAAGATGGTCCATTTTTGCCCCACCAGTATTAATAGCATGAAGGTTTTGCAAAGGCAGTTGATACAGTATATTCAATAGACAAAGGGAATCCTTGCTTCATAGGTTGCAAACTCATAGTCACCAAAACTGGGAAAGGCTCAGATATACAACCTAAGTCGTTGCACTAAAATGGGTGCTTCAAAATTAGGAAAAAGACATGAATAGACAAGTAGAGAACAAGCTGCATGGTGCAGTGGTTAAAGTCAAGCATCTGCTCACAACCCGAGTTTGACCTGACAGGTTTAGGTAACTGCCTCAGGGTCGACTCAGCCTTCCATCCTTCCAAGGTTAATAAAATGAATACTCAGCTTGTGGGGTTGGGGGGGGGGAGAACTTCTTGTTTGCATAGTTATGCTGTGTAATCAATAATAGAAAAATGAGGCAGTGTAGTACACCTTAAGGTGGTCCATTTTTGCCCCACCAGTATTAATAGCATGAAGGTTTTGCAAAGGCAGTTGATATATTCAATATACAAAGGGAATCCTTGCTTCATAGGTTGCAAACTCATAGTCATCAAAACTGGGAAAGGTTCAGATATACAACCTAAGTCATTGCACTAAAATGGGTGCCTCAAAATTAGGAAAAAGACATGAGTAGACAAGTAGAGAACGAGCTGCATGGTGCAGTGGTTAAAGTCAAGCATCTGCTCACAACCCGAGTTTGACCTGACAGGTTTAGGTAACTGCCTCAGGGTCGACTCAGCCTTCCATCCTTCCAAGGTTAATAAAATGAATGCCCAGCTTGCTGGGTGGGGGGGGAAAACTTTTTGTTTTCATAGTTATGCTGTAAACTGCCCAGAGAATGCTCCAAGGCCTATGGGGCAGTAAATAAATTGAAACAAGAACAGATAAACAGGATAAAGCCTAGACTGAGAACTGGAAGATCCTTCCCTCTAAGGTGAAGTGTTACAGAAACACCCCTTACTTAAATTAGACTTAGGCAAAGAAATAATCATATAGAAGCTGTGGTGTACCGTTGCAATATTTATTTCTCTTCTCTTTTTATCTGCTTTATGGCTTGTTTCCACCCTGACCAGATAATTTCCTTCCTTTTGCTTAATTTATCATTTTTGTTCTGAAATATATATAAGGCAAGAGCCTCAGCACTCACTCGTCCAGGTGTTTCTTCTTGTTATCTGCCATTTAAGATCACTTTATGTCTTGCCAAAGTCATTTTGTTGAAATAATTTTGCCATGCAACACAGAATAAGTCCAATAAATAAATAAATAAATAAATAAAGCCTAGACTAGGAACTGGAAGATCCTTCTCTCTAAGGTGAAGTGTTACAGAAACAGCCCTTACTTAAATTAGACTTAGGTAAAGAAATAATCATATAGAAGCTGTGGTGTACCCTTGCAATATTTGTTACTCTTCTCTTTTTATCCGCTTTATGCTTGTTTCCACCCTGACCAAATTAAATAAATAAATAAATAAATAAAGCCTAGACTAGGAACTGGAAGATCCTTCTCTCTAAGGTGAAGTGTTACAGAAACAGCCCTTACTTAAATTAGACTTAGGTAAAGAAATAATCATATAGAAGCTGTGGTGTACCCTTGCAATATTTGTTACTCTTCTCTTTTTATCCGCTTTATGCTTGTTTCCACCCTGACCAAATAATTTCCTTCCTTTTGCTTAATTTATCATTTTTGTTCTGAAATATATATAAGGCAAGAGCCTCAGCACTCACTCGTCCAGGTGTTTCTTCTTGTTATCTGCCATTTAAGATCACTTTATGTCTTGCCAAAGTCATTTTGTTGAAATAATTTTGCCATGCAATACAGAAATACTACGAGACTCTTCCATTCAGTTGATAAGAGGTTTTCTCAAATCCTAGAGCCATTTTCAAGATGTTCCACCATGAGCCCTAAAAAAGTATCTTTTTCTTCCACCTCTTTTACCCATATACCTCTTTCATACTGCACCTATGTTATTATTATTATTTTGTAAATGCAGGATCCATTTTTTTATATAAGTGCAATAAATAAATAAATAAATAAATAAAGCCTAGACTAGGAACTGGAAGATCCTTCTCTCTAAGGTGAAGTGTTACAGAAACAGCCCTTACTTAAATTAGACTTAGGTAAAGAAATAATCATATAGAAGCTGTGGTGTACCCTTGCAATATTTGTTACTCTTCTCTTTTTATCCGCTTTATGCTTGTTTCCACCCTGACCAAATAATTTCCTTCCTTTTGCTTAATTTATCACTTTTGTTCTGAAATATATATAAGGCAAGGGCCTCAGCACTCACTCGTCCAGTTGGTTCTTCTTGTTATCTGCCATTTAAGATCACTTTATGTCTTGCCAAAGTCATTTTGTTGAAATAATTTTGCCATGCAATACAGAAATACTACGAGACTCTTCCATTCAGTTGATAAGAGGTTTTCTCAAATCCTAGAGCCATTTTCAAGATGATCCACCATGAGTCCTAAAAAGGTATCTTTTGCTTCCACCTCTTTTGCCCATATACAGTACCTCTTTCATACTGCACCTATGTTATTATTATTATTTTGTAAATGCAGGATCCATTTTTTGCTCATCAGCCACTTAAATGCAACATCTCCTGGATAAAGGAGATCATGGTGAGCTCCCCATTTGATCCCTCCTTGTTGCTTAGGATATTAAAAAGGCCCTTTCGATTAGAAGGGACCTGGTGGGTCAGTTCCTTCATACATTCTATGGATTCAAATAGGCCTACTCTAAAGTTCCAGAGCTGGAGTCCTGAAGGCAGTTCGTATCGTTCTGCCAACTCCTGCGACGTTGCTGGAACCAGCTGTATTGGCTCTTGCCTTTCCATTGGATCATTTCAGCAACGTAGAGAGGGGGGATCTGCTGCTTGGGTAGCATATGTATCCTCCATATTACTTTACCCAGGCTTCATGCTTTGGAGAGAACACTCCTCGATGCAGAGCATGTTACCATAGTCTTTCGAGACTGAAGGATGCCTATGACTCTAAAGTAAGCCACAATTTGAGTAGGCTCGTTTGAACCCATGGAACTCATGGAGAAGTGGCTCAACAAAGCCTTGCTGATTCAATGGGCTTACTCGAGTGTGAGTTGCTAAGCTAAGCAACAGGATTTCAGCCACTGTTTTAGAATTGCTAATATTTTCATCAGAGGTATGTGTAGATCTGTATTCTCAGACCACAACTCCCAGAATTCCCCAGTAATAACAACTTGAGTGGTAGTCCAAAAATCACAAACCTGTACACGCTTAGTTTTCACGATTGACTAACACAAATTAAGCAAAGCAGAAACATGAAATAACAGGGGAAACCGGAAAGCCTTGTGCAAAGTGAACATTTCCTTGGAGGAGCACATGTCAGAAAATGGGTCCCACCGTTGACTGAAACCTATTCACCGAGTAATCCAACGAGAAAGTGGCTCTAAATGCTGCCCTTTCATGCTTTGAAGCCTGTTGTCATTTTCTTCCCCCAATTCCTTAATTAGCTCGTGAACCGCTAGTCGCTCTCTTTTGGGAAAAGATGTGGCACAAGACGAAGCGAAACGCAATGGGAGGCCACCTTCGCCTCCACCCAGCTGCCCTTCAGGGCCAGGCACAAGAAACTGGCTCTTGCCGAACCGCAGCTCAGAGAGATCGGCTTAACTTGTCTTTTTTCTTCTCCCGACCCTCCGGGGTGGCGGCGCTGAGGAAGTGCAACCCTCGCGCGCCCTTCGCCAAAGATGGAAGTGGCCCGCGCTCACACGACCATCCAGGGCGGTACAAACTTCCCGGCAGCCTGAACCCGGGGCCGCCCGCTCTGGCCCACTTCGAGGGCTTTCCCGCTGGAACCCCAAGTCTCATACTAACTCCGCCTGATGCCAAGTTCGGTAGAATTCAAAAGATCACCTGATGTATAACTTTTTCGTGACCCTGCACATGTCGTCTGTAACTCAAAACTCTGGGTCAAACGTGTGTCAGCCTTTTCAGACACAAAGCCTTTGAGCAAAGAAGAAAAAGTGCACCGAGGTTTATACTTACTGCGTCCTGCAACAAACTTCTTCGGCTAAGTAGATCTCTGTGCCTGTTTCCGCATCAGTTTTTTTTAAAAAAAGTCTTTTATTAGTGCCGATTTGTTCGGCGCTCAAAGGGCTCAGAGAGAGGTCCTCTTCTTTTCTCTGAGCATCCCACACGCCTGTTCGCTTTTTGGTTACGAAGCGAGCGTTACTACCGATACTTCTAGCTTACTCATTTCCTGGAGGTCGGTGGGTTTTTTTTTCCTTCCTCCACTCTGAGCAACTCTCCCTCCCCGGACAGAAAAAAAAAACACAACACATCTAACGTGCTCAAGTTTTTGCCGAGTCCCCGGACGCTCTTAAGGTGGCAGGCAAAGAAAGTAAAGGCACTCTTCTCTCTTGCAAAGGCGACTTGGCGATCAACGCAAGCCTTCAAAGTTGGTGCACATTCGGGCGACAGAGAAATCCGAAGAAACGGTTCCACAACATGGCGTTTACGAGAACTCACTAAAAACTTCTGGGGGACGCCCTTAAGTTTCCTCTGTTGTGCAACGCTCGAGGAAAGAGGAAAGCAACAGCTTTCCAGAGGTGGCTCCTCGTGGCCTCTTGTAATCCTGAAATACAGCGGGAGACGCCTACCTAATTCATGTAAACACTCTCTCCCTTCAGAGTCAGGAACTCATCTCTCTCTCTCTCTCTCTCTTTTAACATTGGAGATGCTCCTATTCGAGTCTCGGCCCTAGCTTGTTGTCACATCTGGGAGTAAGGGTGCTGGATACACATGTTAAAGTTCCCAGTAGTGCTGGTTTTGTAGAAATTACTAAGTGGTCGGCGCAGCCTCTTACAAACAGTAATAAAATGCATGGAAATCTTAAGCGCGTTGGAAGCTGGCTATGTAGCTCAGTGAGTTAGGCTGGGAATTTGATATTGTGCTTGCAGAGAGAAGAACCAAGCCAGCCTGTGCAGTCTTGGGCAAGGTGCACAGTTCCTCACCCCCCAGGTAACTCCAAATAAAGGCAGATACCTCTTCTGAGTGTTCACTATCTGGAAAACCCAGTCACGATAAGTCAAAATTGACTTGGTGGCACATGATTTATTATTTATTTTTAAACGTATTTTTTAGTCAAAATTGACTTGATGGCACATGATTTATTATTTATCTTTAAACGTATTTTTAAAAAATGCTAAAACTTACTAAAATGGTAATCTGACAGAACGTGTTAAGATTTGAAATGTTGAATATATAGAGTACTAAAATAATTAACGGGAATGTAGAGCAAACTGCTGGACTCCGATTGTGTTAGACAAAACAATAATGTGAATTGTCATAGTAGTAGGTTGCCAGATCCTGAGTTACAGGAGTAATATTTTACAGGAATTGTAAAAGCAATGGAAATTTATATTATTAAAATTATCTTTCTGCTGGTGCAGAAATTCCTTGGAAGCCCAGCAAGAGTGTTGAAGGGAAATGTTCACATCTGAAAGAATTATAAATATAGAGAGGCAGGGCATGCGTGTGCATGCGTACACACACACACACACACATACACTGATGCCATGCCACACTACACCACACCCATAGGATACCAACAATCACGTAGCAACAACAGTGGCTGAGGAGGACAACACGGATTTTCCTCCATATATTTAAACTGACTTGACTGAGCGATCACTTAGAACAATTTTGGTGTGTCATATGCTTAAAAGCTAAAGATTACTCAAAATTATTATGTTTTTTAAAACTTTTAATTATGTATTTTAGAGATGCAGTCTCTGCCTTTTGTTTTTTCAAGGTAGCTTTTTAGGTGATAAGTTCTTGCATTTTTAGAAAATAATTAAAACTATTTTTGATATTTTATTGTATTTTTTGTGCTGAAATGTGACTTAAGTATTTGCTTGCAACTCATTTAATTTTAATATATTTTTCAGAATTTGTGCCTACAGCTTTTCCATAGCTGCAAGAATGTTTTAATTCCATTTTGACTCATTACCTTTTGAAATATTTTGTGTTTATGAAACATAGAAACTATGTAGACAAATAAAGATTGTAGAATTAAACAAGCTGCTGTTGCCCTGGATCATTGCAGCAATGAAAAGACTTATTGTCTTGATGCCCATATGGATTCTGATGTGATTGAAAATCACTTTGATTTCAATCCGAAATTTATTGTTTGGTGATAAATGACGGCAGTAACAAATATAAGCTTCTTATTTTTTTCCTAGAAGTGCATAAATTTCTATAGGGCTCAGGAGGATATTCAGAGATACCTCTGACTTTACAGATGTACCTGTTCAAGTCTCTCTTGTGCTATTAATTTACTTTACTGGCTAGCCAGCTTGTGGGCAAGTCATTGTTTTTCAGACTCTGTTTCCTTAGCTGTGAAACAGAATAATCACTGATGAAAGAGACAAGGATTATAATTTGCACATTAACAGCCTGATCACATGCAAAGTGATTATACATGCCTGAGGTTATTGAATTCAAAGTTTTGAGTGCACCTCACTATGTAAGATTGGGCTGTTTGATGGCCTTCTTATGCACAAATAAGAAATAATTGGAAATCTGTACATAGTTGGTGAATTTGTAAATGCCATAAACTTTCTTCCGCTACAGCTCATGTCTTTGCAAGCTGCTAGGAAGTAAAGAGCCCCAGTGTAGTGGAGTAGATAAAATGACTCAGGAGACCTAGGTCTGAATTGTTGCTTGGCTGTGGAAGCTCATGGGGGTTAAACCATCCTTAAATGTCTCACTTAAAAGCCCTGTAAGGGTCATTATAAGCCAGGTCCAATTTGACCACGCATGGCACACTGTGAAGTAGGTCCTATTTAATTCAGTGAAGATTTGGAAAATAAATTTTCTCCTTCTGTAAGCTTAAAGCAGTTTACAACACAACATGCAAACTAAATCCACAGATTACACAAAACGATTATTGTAAGATACCAAAATAATATAATTAAAGAAAAGATAGAATCACACAAATAAGAGTGTTTATCTGTTCTGTTGTGGGTCTTATTTCATGTGCATGTTTGTTTTGTTATGGAACTTAAATCTGATTAGTCTGAATGGAACTCAGCAAAGCACGAGGCTTGTGCATCTAAGTCAGCGATTCCCAGTCTTAGGTGCATTGTAATCTCAAGGGTACAAACCAGGACATACAAGGGGGAAAGAATAATGGTGGGGAAAGACATATATATCAACAGTGTAAGACAAAATAAAAGTCAAAAGTTATGAGATTTATTGAACTTTATGATGAGTGGCATAACAGGTTTTGTTTGTTATTGAACTTCAAGAAAATCCCGGTTCATTTGCTTTGTTATTTTGACAAGTGATGGGGAGCCCCTCCCTAAACTGTATGTTGCAAATAAACCACTAGAGTGTACATACTCGGTGGTACATGTTTCACAGGCTCAGCATTCACTCTCCTCCACGTTGCAAACATTGAGTAATATCATGCTGGTAGCAGTGTATATATAAGTGGCACTTCAGTCAGACTTGTGAATAGTGTTCAATGAGTGAGTTTTTCTGGGTCTTCTATAATGTGTGAATTCACTGTATCTTTTGAGTTTTGCTTGCAAATATATATGCACTATCTGCTCACTTTATTATTCTGTTGCTTTTTAATTCCATTACTAGGCTATTTATTTACAATTACAACACATACATTTGAAATATCAGCAACCATGTTGATTACAAAAAAATTGGTAATATGAAGAAAATTTATGTACTGCCAAGGGATAAGCAAAAGAAAAAAGGTTGCGAACCACTGAACTAAGTGCTTGAATTGTCCTAGAATGAGATATCTGGACAGTTTATGAAATTTATCATAAACCTTAGGGTTTTGTTGTTGTTGTTGTTTAGTTGTTAAGTCATGTCCGACTCTTCATGACCCCAAGGACCAGAGCACACCAGGCCTTCCTGTCTTCCACTGCCTCCCGGAGTTTGGTCAAATTCATGTTTGTAGTTTCAATGACATTGTCCAACCATCTCATTCTCTGTCATCCCCTTCTCCTCTTGCCTTCACACTTTCCTAACATCAGGGTCCTTTCCAGGGAGTCTTCTCTTCTCATCAGATGGCAAAAGTATTGGAGCCTCAGCTTCAGGATCTGTGCTTCCAGTGAGCATTCAGGGTTGATTTCCTTCAAAATGGATAGGTTTGTTCTCTTTGCAGTCCAGGGGACTCTCAAGAGTCTCCTCCAGCACCACAATTCAAAAGATTCAATTCTTCGGTGGTCCTCAGTAACCCTAGGGTTACTGGCAATTTTTTACTAGAAATTTAATCCAACCTCTGCACTACTTCTAGTCTCCAATAGTACCAACAGACTATATTGTAGGGTTGCTCTAAGACAATCTTAACACAGGCCCTTTAACCTACAATAGGAATATACAGGTGAACTCACCTGCAGGGTAACTTGTATATTACTGTTCCACTCCAACCTGCAATGTAGTGATAAAAGCAATGGACAATACCGTGGTGCTGTGTTTCAAGGGCAGCTTGAGCCTCATTCTTTTTTGTAGAACCACCATGGGCCCTAGCTGCCTTGTTTACGAGTAGATTTACACCTCCCCATGTTTCACAGAAATACAAATTCACTTGTAAAAAAGGTGCATAGGGAATACGTGATTTCTTTAAAGTAAGAAAAAAACCCTACTTTAAAATGAAACCCATTTTTGCCACTATTCAACTGAATTTCAGTGGCAAATTCTGTGGATTGTCCATGGCACAGTGCAGCCTCTTATGGATTCTAGGCAGGAAAGAAATGCCCCCTAGAATGCAGAAGCTGCCTTTTTCCTTATACTTTTACAGATTCAGGTCATCATCCAATGGGCTAATTGATTATGTGATGTCAAGGTAAACCTGGGTTTCATTTGCAAGTCTGATTTCTCAACCACAAAGTTATGGAGGAATCACAATGCTTTGTTTCACTTTCAGTTTCTATTTGTATTTTGGTCCTTAACAAGAATGAGAGTGTAGTTTTTAGTATCAGTTGAGACACTGTGTCCCAGTCACAGCCCTGTTCAACATGCAGTATAGGAATAATGAACTGTACAGTGTTTGCTTTCTGGAGAAAAAATAAGTTATTTTTGAAACATTTTACATTAAATAAGAATAAAGTTGGAATTAGCAGAAAGTCTTCCTTTTGCTGCTATTTCATGGAGTTAATTGTTGTGTGAGGAGGTGGGTGGTCAGACAGATGGCCGATCTTGGGTACTTTATAATGCTTGATTTCTCCATTACATTCAAGCCCTCCTTTCTCTCTCTCTCTCTCTCTGGAGACATTAAAACCATCATCTTTGTACATGGGAGTAACGTGGGAGAAGGTCCATACAGAGAATGAGCTTCTAAACATCTGTCTCTCTTCCTTTCTCAGTCTTCCTTTCCTTCTATTCTGTCTCTGAGTGTACTTGGTTTTCTGTTTTTCCTCTCTCTTCAACAGTTATCTAGCATTCAGTGATTACCCCAAACCACAGAGATGCATCAGATCTATATCAACAAGAAACACAAGCAAGTCGGAAAGCGAAAACAAGTCATGACATCAGATCCAGGTCAAAGTTCTATCTGGTTGGAATAATGTTAGTCAGGGTTGCCATGTCAATGGCAGCTCACTCCTTGAAATCCAATGTGATATCACAGATATGGGGCAGGCAAGGGTTGTGAGGGGGTTAAATTGTTTGTAGAGCAGCTAATTGTGGAAATAAAGAGGTGAATATGGGCATATGTGGCTGTAGCCCAGGTAAAATTCAGCCAATAAGGTAACATGGCAGACCCAGAACCAGAGAGAAAAATGGTAGCAGGGCAAGATGCCCAAATGCCAGAAGCTGCAGTGGTTGGTGTCTTTTGTGCTACATTTTGCATCTTGAACAATCTTTTCTACAGCACATATGACACATGGGGAGTTTTTCCAGGCCCTACACAAGTCAGTGGGTTTATGAATGCTTGCCATGCTAGCTCACACAGAGTTTTCTTCCAGGTTATCACTGCTCATTGCTGATCTTTCACTCCCTGCCACTGGGAACAAATAGCATAGTGGTCCCAGCCTGCATGCACCCAATAGCTGTCTCTCCACTCCAACAGTTCCAGCTTAATCAAGACTAAGGCCTTTAAATACCATGAGTGCTATAGCTGGGCCATTCCTGCCTCAGGAGCGTTTGGACTGGTTGAGCTTGGGGTTCCTTCTAGTTCTATGAGACTTCCTTCTTCTAAATATTCCCAGCCAGATTGGCCTATATAAAATTATTGTGGTTAGGAGTATCATGAAAGCTGTTCTTAAAGGTGTTTGCACTAGCAAAGCCTTGTTTCATTCCAGCTTTTCTGTACTATCTGTGATGCTTTATACAGGGACTAGTATGGCAAATGGGATTATGCTCTAAATTTTACTTGGAGTAGAAATTAAGATTCAAAGAAAAGGCTGTTTCAGCATGTCTATGTTTTGAGTTAGGAGGCGCAAGGCAATTGATTTGTGGTCTGAATTTCCTTGCTGTGGGGCTATTCAACCATAACTTTTTGCTTTAAATTGAAATATTTGTCTCTTTGGCCAAGCTATTCATATAACTCCTTCCTAAGAGCAGTTTTATTCAGGATTCTCAGACAATTTCTTATCTAGATTACTGTTACAGACCTACTTGGCTTCAGCAGTGTCGTTGTGTTCCAATAAGGCACAGTGAATTATATACAGTACATACAGTTCAACCACCTCCATCCCTTAAAATACAGCCCACCCTTCACAGTTCCTACCTCTTCCTCTCTCTCTCCTTGGACTAAGAAAAGGATTGGATGCTGGCCTGTGCTAAGATCACTGCAAGGAAGCTACTTACACCTCTGCTAATAAAAGTATTGTGTTACCAATATCTCTGTGTAATTTGAACAATGCAGCCTTAATGCCATAATGTAAATCTATTGTGTCATCATTAAATAATAGATAATGACTATGGAAAATGATGAAACAAAGACAATACCAATCCAAATGATTAAGGTGATGAGACGCATCTGTAAGAGGTAATGCATTTGGAGTGCTTTTTGGTTATTATTATTTTAATCAGGAGGGGAAGAGGAACTGCACCATAACTTTATTGTTGCACAGTGCCACCTAGTGTTTTTTGACTATAATATGCCAAGGAATCCTATGGTTTAACTTAGGTTAGGAAATACAGTATCTCTTCTCCCAGGCGGTTTATAAATGAGACTGTGGTGAGAGTTTGTGCATTTGCTCAGTTCTTAGAAATACCTCATGATGCTTCTAAACAGTTTGTCAATTCAATGACACTAAAATTCAATGAAACATTGCATTCTTGCCTTAATACTTTGCTTATAGAACTGACAAATGTACAGTATATACATATCAGTTAGCTTTATCCAGTTCTGTCCAGATGGATATATCTGCATTGTATGATATGCCTCATATTCTTGGTTTCTTAGGCTGCATTGTTTGTAACATGGTCACCTTGCAGGCTCTGTTCTTGAGATTCTACAGTGTGTGTAATGTTCTGAGGCTCTATGCTTGGGCACTTGGATCGGTCCTAAGACATAAGGTGGGTTTGGTTCATATATTTCCCAAACTGTCTTGATTTTCAGTATGTCTCACACTGATTGCATCATTGCACCCCTGAATATTGCAACAGCATGGTAACAGCATTATAGGTTATAGTCATTCCATTGTGGTGGGACACCACGCTGAGACCCTGAGCCAGAGAATATTATATTTTCAAAGAAAGATGAAAACTCTGTCTGTGACTAACTTATATTGTAGTAGTGTGGGTAGTAAGTATTTTAAGAAATTGCTGTACAGCTTTGTGTCTAGAAACTGTAGGGAGACCTACTGAGCAAAATTATTGTTTCATTTCATTATTTATTTCATTTATACAGTATTCTCCTTTCTCCCAATTTCAGTCTGTGCCCCCCTTCAAATGTGTGCCAGGGCCCCCCAGGGGGCCATATGAACACAGTTGGGAATGGCTGCTGTAGATTAAGTTAGATTAATGTTTATTTTTTATTTATTTATTTAATTAATTTATATGCCACCCACTCTACCCAGAAGTCTCTGGGCAGATTACAACAATTAAAATTCAATACAATAAGAGATAAAATGATTAAAATACAATTAAAATACAATTAAAATTGCCACCAGGACCCACAGTTGATGTTATTTCAATTAAAAGCCTTCTGGAACAGGAAGGTTTTGACCTGGTGCCGAAATGTCGTCAACGTCGGCGCCAGACGAATTTCAGTCGGGAGGGCATTCCATAGTCTGGGGGCAGCAGCCGAGAAGGCTCTTTATCTACAAGCCATCCTTCTTACCTCCTTGAGGGATGGCTCTTTCAAAAGGGCCCCCTGGCTAGATCTTAACTGCCAGGTAGGCTCATATCGAAGGAGGTGTCTTCTGCACCCTGTTGGCATGTGAGGAAAAGGAGAAGCAGCAACAGCCACCACTTGTGGTGGTCTTGGGATTGTTGATTGCATATCTTATGATAGGCTTTGACACTTAATTGTGTTTATGTCTATAATTAGCATCAAGGAAAAAGTCCGAAGGAACTGATGTGTGATGTAAGAAAGATAGAGAACACCTCTAAGCCCACTGCATTAGTAGAATGTCCAATGCTTTCTCTCTATTCCCCTGAGAAAAGTAGTAGCTTAGGAAAAAACAGGATTCAAATTCCTTTAAATTGTCTCTTTAGAAATCAGTGACTTTGTCTCTTCTCTTCATTAGGTACAAAATTGGAATATGGCAAAACCCAATGGACAGGACAAACTGGTGGGGTGAATTCTCTTTATGCACTAGTTGGATACATTGGGTCCTCATGCCCAGTTCTGATGGACCTTTTTGGGTGGAAGCAATATTTATAAATATTGGCAAGGAACATCTGGAATGTGTCAGCAGTCAGAGAAAAGAAGAAAGAAGAATGTGAAGAAACATTTCTAGTAGTAGAATAATCTCTAGAGTTACATGGATTTTAATGAAATTCACCTCACGAGTTCAGTTTCATTGTGACTGAAATAGAATGAAGGCAAACAGTTCAGTAAAAGTGAGCAATTTTGATAATACATAAAAATAACATAAATTAAGATTCTGGTTATGCAGTTTATTATCACAGGGTATGCAGTCATTTCATAAATGTTAATTACAGTCTGATCCATAAACCTGTTATGCTCTGCTGCTTACATTTAAACCGATTAAAACTGAATTAAATTTATTCCAGGACTGAGGCTGGCATTAAGGCATGTGCTTTTTCTGTTTTCCTGGCTCAAATTAAGTCTTCCCTCCCCTTCAATACCTTTTTCCAAGTCTCTCAAAATCTTCCCAGTTGATCTTAAATCTTATGTTGGTTGTTATTGGGGAAGATGATCTTTCAAGTACTTGGGTCCTGAGCGATGTAGGGATTTCTACAGTAATACTAACTCTTTAAATGAGGTTTGGTAGCTCACTTGGCAGCCAATGCAGAAATTTCAAAATTGGCGTGGTATGTGCCCTTGTAACGGTCGCTATGAACACACAGCATGTAATGTGCCACAGTTTTTCTGGGCTATATTACTGTCATGTCCTAGAGTCCTAGACCATCTGCAAATTTGTCCAATGCTTTTTACTCTCTTTTTCTATACTGGATGTGATCATTTAACTCATCTCTCCCGAGTTTTGTTGCTCTGTTCTGCCCGGTTACTTCTTTCAGCTCTTGCATGTAGAACAAAAATTCCACCTTTTTTCATTTGGTTGCAAAGGGGCACACAGAGTTTATTCAGATTTGCATCAAGCTTCTATTTAAAAATCAGCTTCTTTTTTCTCGAAAATACCCCATTACTTTTAGGAAATATGTTTTTGGCGGCTCTTTTCCAAGTGCCCTACCAGCTGAGGTGAAGGAATTAGAAACCAGTTGTGGCACAGTTGTCTGCCCTTACTTTGCATACTACCCCGGCCACTAAACCTTACTGATTTTTCTGTAGCAGGAGGAAAATTATTTATCACCTCACTGATCCTGAAAAGCCATTTATGTCAGTCTGCTTTTAGTGGAGACATTTGGCTCAGTTTGATTATTTTATGCTTTAACATTTATTTTTCCTTTTAAAATGTTGGTTTGGTATGTGTGTTGCATGCTGATTATTATTATTATTAGTAGTAGTAGTAGTAGTAGTAGTAGTAGTAGTAGTAGTAGCAGCAGCAGCAGCAGCAGCAGTAGTAGTAGTAGACATATAACACACACCACTTTTGGAATGCTTTGCCCTGGAAGGGGCTGTACAGTTGAAATAAACAGTTTCCAGGAGGATCTCTTGCAACAACAACAAAAATAAACTCCAACAAGCCTTGTAATGCCTTAAACTAAGCTTTATTTAGCCACAGTTTTCATGTTACAGCGATGCCTTCGTTTATTCTGTCATTCTTCTAACAAAACCCATTCTTGAAACACGGCTGAAGGATGGGATCTCGAATTTTATATTAAAAAGTTAGGACCGTGCTCATCAAGTGCTGAACAACAAAGAGAGCCAAAGGCATGCCCATGCGCTGGAGTCGGCCCCTGCGTTGTCCCTGAACGGGAGTCCTTTCTCCCGAACCTCCAGAACGACATTCCCCTCGCCATCTTCGCCTCCTCCTTTTCCTCCTCCCGCCAGAATGAAGGAAGTGAAAGGTAGCCGTTGCTAGGAGACGCGAGCGGCGGCCGCGTACACAGCCGCCGAGGCCGAGTGAGGAGAAAGGCCCTCCCGTTTCTTCCAACGAGGGGGGACTCTCCTACTCTTCCCTCCCCTCACACGCCGGGAGGGGGAGCGGTGTACCCCAAGCCCAGCTGCAAAAATGGCAGAGGTGAGCCCGCTCTTCCTCTCCCCGGCGAAGCAGCCTCCTCCATTCTTTTTTCCTTTAGTAACTGCTGCTTGCTTTTCCGGCGCTGTCGGAGTTTCCCTTCTTTACATTACTGCTTCTGAACCAATACCTGGTTCTCAACTCCACCTGCTAATAGCATCGCCTCCTGCTGCATCCCCCCAGGAAGGATAGGTTCACATCAAAGCGCGAATTTCCACTTCAAAAAAAGAGAGGGTGTTTTGTTTTTCGTTTTGCAAGGTTGCATATTTTCCCTGTACTTATACAAATAACAGAGATCAGGTTGGATCACATTTTAATCAGGCTCAGAGTAGACCCATTGAAATTAACGAGAAAAAGTTAGACGACTAACTGAAGTTGCACTGATTTCAGTGTATCTGCTCTTAAGAATGACAAAGGTTAGTTGTTACCCTTGTCCTCTTCAAAGAGTATGTTGGCAAACTCTTTGTTTAATCTCTCTCTCTCTGTCCTTGTTAACACATTCACAAAAGTCACTGAAGATACTTCTGGGTTAAACTAGGGTCCCCAGGTGTTCCCAGAAATCCAGGTGAGGTGGAGAAGCAAAAGGTGCTTCCCATCCTCAGGTGCAGCAGTAAATGGACAAATCCAAATCATTGTGCAAAATACACACGGCAAGCCAAGGTGTTTTAGCACCTGAGGTAGAAGCCCCCATAAGCACTTATTTCTCATTGGAAATAAAAATGGAAACAATAATATATTTGATAACTAATATTTTGCAACCCTTCTGTTGTACCCCAGAACAGCAATCTGAGGTAGCCCCCTTATTCTGCTTAATGATAGGACTGGCCCTGTCTATTAATATTTTAATTCTTCCTCATCTGCCTATGTTCTGTCTCCAATTTTCTTCTCTATGCCCCTGCTCTGCCTTTTCAGGTCAGTTGCATATGGGACTCAATTTGCTGCAGGAAATTCTCTAAAATAAACTGTATTATTTGTACCATTTAATCCACATGCTATTTTCATTTTGTTGCAAACTGTCTTTCTGTCATTGCCTCTAACTTTTCCCATTTTCCCTTAGTTTCGTCATATATTAATGGAAATGTTCTCTACCTGTGTTTCTTGATAATTTAGGCAAACCTGGGGACAATAAACAAAGTTTTATGGGCTGAATAACTGAGTTTGGCACAAACTGACTGGGAGAATAAAACAGACTCGTGCTTAGCTCACAAAGCATATTTGCATCCATTTGATTTCATTCATATTTTTATGTCAGGAAGCAATTTACCATTGATAGAGAACACTGTTACATTTTAAGCACTATGAATAGAAACATTTTTATAGTCAGCTCATTTGTTATTATTATTGGTAGTAAACTCCAAGGTGGTCATAGAATAGTGATATACATTTTGTTTATCTAGAGATATATTTGCTGAAATAGGAAAACTATCCGTTTATTAAGAATGCAGGATGATGGAGTGATGATTACTTGCTAACACAGAACTATTTATTTCTTTAGTTTACAGAGGGTTTTTTTTTAAACAGCAAGTGGCAAATAGTTACTTCAATTGATACAAGGAGTAGAATTAAACTAATGGCCAAAATCCTGTTGTGTAGTTACACTGCTGGAAGTGTGTGAAGGGAACAGGGACATAAATGCCTTGTCAGTGATCCATTGAGCTCCAACTCAGGACCTACCCAACACAACCCCTTTTCCACAGAACCGGTCATAGAAACAAATAGGCAATACCACCAGGAAGAACATGGTAAGGATTGTAGGTCTAGGGACTTAGTGATATCTATCCAGTAGTGGAAGGTGCCCCTAAAAGAACAAGGGAGGAGCTAATTTATACCTGTTGCATATGTTGGATATAAAGGCAACTTTGCCTCCAAAAAGAGGAGTTGAAGCAAAGGGAAGGAGAGAAATTCACAGGAGAATCAGAGGCGAAGGAGGTAGTGACTAGTGAAGAGGGGGCCACTATCAAAGAAGTGAAAGAACAACAAAACATAGGAGAAGTAATAGAGGAAATAGAGGAAGGAAGGGAAATTTGTGGTGAGCCTTTAGATGAAGAACTAGAGGAAGGAGAATGGGATGATGCACAAGAGGAATGGTTAGGAACCTGTGGGATGGTATGAATAACCAGAATCCCTAGAAGAGTGGGATTCCATCTATAAAGAAGATCACTAGCAAAGGGAACTAGTCAAGCTCTGGTTGTCAAAGGGAGGGAGGGTGAAAAACACAACTGTACTGAGAAAAAACGAAGGGAAGCTAGAGGAAAGGCAGGATCTGCTTGGAGTCAATGCTTATCCGTTTATTAAGAATGCAGGATGATGGGGTGATGATTACTTGCTAACTCTGGTTGTCAAAGCGAGGGAGGGAGAAAAACACAACTGTACTGAGAAAAAACGGAGGGAAGCTAGAGGAAAGCAGGGTCTGCTTGAGGTCAATGCTGGCATAAGGAAGGCACATAGGGACTTCACTGCTCAGAGAATGCTGAGAGGAGGCTGCCTGGGAACCAAGCTCACCCAGGAAATTCTGCCAGAAACTTCACCTCAAGCCTGTCTTCATTGTGGATGTACCAACCCTCCCTCTTAGAACGTGGACAGAAACATGCCAGATCCATGGCAAACTTTACAGATAACTGACTCCCAGGGTTTAGTGGAGAGGACTTGTGACCCTGATGAGATTGAGCCATTCAGAGGAATGAAGACAAAGAAAGTGAGACTGTACTGAGGGACCAGGGACCAGTGTCTGGAAGCAGAATCCTGGAAAAGAGACTGAATACTAATCTTGTTATCATTCAACCCCCTACTCAGTTCTATAAAGCACTTTTTGTTTCAATCCATTGGTCTGATGTGTATGGGTTCTAGAATGGATGAAGGAAATCCCATTAACCCTGTGGGAGTTGGCAGGACTTCCAAAGTGAAATGGTGAGTAGCAAATTGTGCTAATTAATGAGTTCCCACTGGGATTCCTAGTTGTATGTGAAGCTGCCCAACTTGGCATCCTATGAAGAATCCAAGAGAAAATTCATTAATTAGTGGCAATCTGCTACTACATGTTATAGCATTTCCTTTCTCCCAACTTAACTGAATAACAGGATTTCAACCTATGTATTGGCATAAATAAAAAGAGCGAAGTATTCAAAATGTGATTTTAATCACAGAATGCTGATATATCTTGAATTGAGAGCCTCAGGGCACAATGGTTAAAATGCTATACTGCAGCCAAAATGGTGCTCATGACCCGAGGTTCAATCCCAGGTAGCCAGCTCAAGATTGACTCGGCTTTCTATCCTTCTGAGATTGGTAAAATGAGTACCCAGCTTGGGGGAGGGGGGATGTGTAGCCTGCATAATTAAGTTGTAAACCACCCAGAGAGTGGTTGAAATGCTATGGGGCGGTATATAAGCAGCATACTTTGCTATTGAGAGAATGACTTACAAAGAAGCAAAAAAGTGGATGAGTGAAGACCAAGAAATCAAAATATATAAAATGCAGAAAGTTCAAACATTTTAGCCATGTAATGAGAAACAAAATGTATGGTTTTCTAGAGCTGATAATTTAGCATAGAATAAAGGGGAAAATGCAGGAAGGAAAAGATCATACTGACTGAAAAAAATTGAGAGTGATTTATATGCAACACAACATCATTTACATACAGCTATTACATATGAAGTTGAAATTATTATGATAACAAGTATTCTTTGTAGGTCTGGAGTGATTTCATGTTTTTGTTGCTGTTGCAGTGTTATTGCTTATGTGAAGAATGAAAATAATTTCCTTTAGAGCAACAGCTTAAAGTAATTTATGATCTTGAGTTCAAAGATTTATGGTGATAAAACCTCAGAATTGCGCTTTATAACATAATATTTTGCTTAATGGTTTGTCTATGTGGATGGACTCAAGTGATCTTTGAAATACTACTTTGATAAAGGGGCTATCCATTTAAAATAAGGTGGAATGTAATCCTCATATGGTAGGGACAGAGTTGCTATAGCCAGAGAAGTTTAATCAAAGTTAGTTAACTTGGAGTTATTATACTAATGCCATGGTATATATAATTATCTTTGTCAAGATGCCTTTGGTGACTGTCTGATTGATTCTCTGTTTCCTTTTATCCAGGAAAGGTATGATAAGCCTGCAATAGAAGAAAATGTCTTTGAAGCCTTGGAAAAAGACTTCCAAGAAGTCATCAGTGAACTTACAGGAGATCAAAGCCTGGAAAAATTTCGAGTGGAATATGAGAAGCTCCACACAGTGCTGAAAAAGTCCTATGAGAATGAAAAGCGCCTCATGGCAAAATGCAGAGAACTGAATGCAGAGATTGTGGTGAATTCGGCTAAAGTGGCTACTGCCTTAAAACTCTCCCAGGATGATCAGACAACAATAGCATCATTGAAAAGGGTAAATGGAACTAAATGTGACTCATGCTTTTGAAAGACAAATATATATGTGAGAATATTAAATGTATGAGATGAATTTATAAAATATAGGGTGTTTTCATGATGTTCCCTATCATGACCTGATGTCACAGATCCAATAGACTGAAGTGGACAGGGAGCTGACACCATCTCAGTGTTGCTCTCTGCCCTGCTGCTGATTCACTTGGTCACCCCAGGATTGGAGAAATCCCATAATGAAGATCAATGTACCCACACGATGTCTATTAAATATACTAAATGATCCATATTTGCTGTATGTTTTGAAAATGAATTCAAAACATTATCCTACATCTGAGGAAAATCAATCATTTGGGCCCCATGTGCTCTCTGGTGGGTGAGGGCAATCCAGCTACTTCCAGCATCAGTGCTGATAGCTTGTCAAGTACATTCTATTCCTTTCTCACTGCTTTGTCTCCCATGTTCTTTTTTCCCCCAAAACAAAAATTCCCTCATTTGCTTATTTACCTCCTTCTATTTCCTTTGTACTATGACTTATTTGGAGAGGGAAGAAGACAGTCCTGGCCTCTTCAGAAACCTTTTGATTACTGTTGGGCAGCCTACAAAGAAGGTAGAGGAGTTACCATGTGTATGCAGTCCCTTCCAATGCAAACTCCCAGTATCTTCATGAGAATCGAACGCTGGGTCTTAAAAGGTCCACTAGCAGGGGACCCTCACATTTGTGATAGGGATTATATCCCTATTATACCATATCCCAGACTAATTTGGAAAAGAGGGAGCCCAAGAGGAGTCTTGTTTTGGTGATATTTTCTTCTATGTAGCTTTAGGACTGAATCTGTTTTATTGAAGGTATTCAGATACCCAATTTTAGTTGCAATTTTTAACAGGGTTTGCATTCCTTCAGTTTTGTATCTATAATTGGTCACAAAAATCATTTTAAAGTGAAAATTAAAATGGTTTTATCATGGTTCAAAGAGGAGCAGCCTTGTATTTCTCCGGTCTGACATGAAACAAACAGCAGGACACATTAATAACACTGTGCACAGCCGTGCTCTAGCCAAAGTCAATTTAAAAAAAGAATTCCATTTGGGTATTAATATGTTGTCCTTCATTTGAGTGTGCAGGTTCCATTAACTGTGTCAATGAAAAAGTAGTATGGAGCTGAACTAAGCAATCATTGTGTGCCAGATAGTCCAGTGATGCCACTGGGATGCCTTTAGGGATAAACAATCAAGTAAAGTTGTAAGTTTGATTCTAACTGATTTGACCTTTAAATAAAGCACATGAAATGTCTCAGAGCAATTTTAGTGAAGCGACTGAGGCAGTATTTCACTGGGTTCCTATGTTATATAAAATGAGGGATTTTTTGAGAGATTTTCCAGATATATGTGCACAGTATATATCGTGATGGGGATGGTATTAGTGAAATTGAATGGAGAAAATAACAGATGTCTTTTGAACTCTGGTCATAAATTTTCAAAGGAGCAGTTTACATTAATATATATTTCATTAACTTTTGCATTTAAGTGTCTTAGAACAGCATGAAAGGAACACACATTTTAAGAAAACACACCTAGGTTTTTAAAATATGGTGAGGGAAACTTTGGAAAATCATATCAGAATGCTTTAAGTTTTAGTGGATTTAAGCAAGACTGATGCAGCTAGATACAAAGATTTTTGAAACTGCAAAGTATTACAAATTCTTCCCGGAATTTGATACATTCCATGGATTTGTTGATTTTCTGTCTGGGCAAAATTGGTTACTAGATTAGAAAGCTGAGCCTAAAAGAGAATGGAAAATCTTGATTCATTAACTTGAAGAGAAAAAAGTTAGGTTATTTGGAAAATTGATAATGATATGAAATTGTTATTTTCTGTCTTTCATAGGAGATTGAAAAGGCCTGGAAATTGGTGGATGCAGCTTATGAAAAAGAGCAGAAAGCAAAGGAAACCATTGTTTCTCTAAAAGAGGAAATATTGAACTTGACTAAATTAGTGGAACAAGGCTCTGGATTATCATTGGGCCAAGAACATAAGTAAGTTGGGTTGGGAGAACATAAAGGGAAATTGTTATCTATTGATATATTATCCTTATTGTGGCTGTTTATTAGCTGATACAAATAATTTTATCAAGACAAAACTAAAAACTAATAACAAAAAAAATCTGACAACAAAACCATTGTGGCACCCTAAAGACTTGTTATATTTCAGTGTGATTTTTTTTAGTTACAGACACTTCTTCAGCCATGAAAGCTTCAATCTGAAGAAGTGGATGTATCCATGAAAGTTTACGTTAAAATATAATAGTCTTTAAGGTGCCACAATGGTTATTTTGTTGTTGGTTTTGTTTGGATATGTTTGTATACATAGCATGGCTACTTCTTTGGAAACAAATAATTTTGTGAAGAAGCTGTCTGTCTGTCTGTCTGTATGCCTGCCTGCCTGCCTGTCTGTCTGTCTATCTGTCTGCACTTTCATAGTGGATGATAAGGACAGAATGTTCTATTTCATAATCAGGTGGTAAAACATGAACTTTAAATCTGTTGTGGGTTTTTCAGATTGCATATGAGGTATTTGAATATATAAAAATTCCCTATTAGGAAGAACCCATCTTGAACTGCCATGCTAGTTTTCGATGTGTAAGGAGTTCCTTTGTATAGTAAAGCATTTGGTTATATCCCTTGCAGTGCTTCCCAACCTTGGGTCCTCACATATTCTTAGACTACAAATCTCAGAAATCCTGGCCAGCAGAGCAGGTGGTAAAGGCTTCTGGGTGTTTTAATCCAATAACATCTGGGCACCCAAGATTGGGAAACATTGCCTGAGAGTATGGGTGAATTAGATTAATTAGATATGTATTATGTCATCAGATTAGCTAAACTAAGCTATCCAGATCCAAAGGGAGTTGCCTGAAAAAGATGCAGTAAGAAATAGGAGTATGTATATTAGATTAACATGCTGCAAAGCATCATGATTATAGTTATGGTAATAATATGGGGGAGGGATCTGAGTTTAAATCTAAAATTGAATAAAGAATAAAAAGTACTGGTCTATCTGTTACACTAAGGAATGGTTATGGAATGGTTATATTTTTGCTACAATGGGGTGTTTTTGTTTTTATTTTTACTAACTACAGTAGAGAAATTTAATTGACAGATTTTGGGAGACAATGGAAGAGGTTACATGTGGAACCATTGTCTTTAAAGTAATTTTCTACAAAATGCTTTGTGTTGTGAATAGAGACTGTCCAGGGTGCATATTACAGATAACTAGGATCTGTTTTGTTCTAGCTTGCGTGAATTGCTAAAATTTAAGGAGGAAGTAACAAAGGAGCGAGACCAACTTTTGGCTGAGGTGGTAAAGTTACGTGAAAATGTAACTAATATGGCAGATCAACAGCAAGAGGCAGAAAAAACAAAAGTTGAGACAGAGTCCACCATTGTTCAGGTCTGTGCAGCTCCCCAGATTACTGTCATTATTGGTAGAAGACTTGCAATTCATATCTGTTAACAGGTTCTTGATCTTCCACTTTCTAAATTTATTTTCAGGAAAAGGTTGTTACTGACAAAGCATCATCAATACCAGATCCTTTCCATTGATTTTTGGCATTTGTCTTTTTGTCTCTCTGTTCATCACTATCATCTAGGACAGGAGTCTCCAAACTTTTCAGTGAGGGCCAAAGGAACAGGAATGTGCACGTGCATGCACGTAACATCGCTGCACGCATGCCCACATGCACACACACCGCCTGCCTCCCACCCACACAAATGCCTGTCCCCCGGATGCACGCCTGCCCCCCACCCCCCTGCGTGCATGGATGCCCCTGCCCCCCGCACATGTGTACGGGCTGAAGGAAACGGGCCAGACAAAACTGCAACGCAGCCCGAATGTGGCCTGTGGGCCATAGTTTGGAGACCACTGAACTAGGAGATATGTTGTCCTTCATAGGGCCTTATTTGCTTGCCAAATCTGCTTCAACCAGGAACTTGTATTACCTTAGAGAATTCATATTTTGCTTTAATTCAGGTCCATCATAATTTGCATTCTCCATATCTGTGGCTAAGTGAATCAATACTAATAATTAGGTTTCTACTGTGTCTTACTTACAGTTACATTCCTCTTCCTCTCATCAGTTATCTTTATTCTGAAGTCACAGGTTTCTGGTGGGATCATTTTAGTTCACACAGTTTGTTTTCACACTGTGCACACATTCCTATAGTAGCTATGTTCACTAGCTTGCTGCCTTTAGCTTCATCATGGAGTTAAATGATCAGGTAGTTGCTAGTTCTGCCAACTAAAAATTATGTCTGCCATAATTGTGTGGTTTTTTTTACACTTTCTGTCTTAATTGTTTATTATCAACCTCTGGTAAGAATGAGTGTGTGATTGTCACCCTCTTCCTCCCTGTTGGGAATGGTGTGGAGGTGCTCTTTGATCATGGGCTGTATGAATTCCAGCATCTCATTGCTGCTTGAACTATTCTTTATTAGGGTGAGGGAGTAAGATACAAAGGTTGGTCAGGTGCCTGATTCCACCTATTCTCACCACTTGCAGGAGGGATTAATTATCCCCACTAGCCCCCACCCCTTTTATCCCTAGTTGGGCCCAAATTCCATTCCATGTGCTGGCACTCTCTTTCGTCTGGAGTTGGAGTCTAGTTCTCCCCAAACATCTAACATCCTTTTAGGAGGGCTGGTAGTGACAGGCCAAAGCTGGTCCCTGCCCCCACCCACACTGTGTCCTGTCTCCAGAGGGCTTGGCGCAGGCACCCATTGTGCCATTTCATCTGCCAGTGCCTCTTCTAGATTGGGGTGGCGACTGTAGTCCAGGGCTTGGCAGGGCATATCTGCCTCTACAGAGCAGGACTTGGAAGGATGGGCAGCAACGTGTCTCCCTCATATCCTGTAATGGTGAAATTGGACCTCTTCCTCAGGCCAGGGGTCTTGCATCACTAGTGGGTGATCCTCCCTGAGGATGCAGAAGTTGGGAGGGAGCTCCAAGGTCTCCACCCAGTCCTTCTCTGACTCCATCGAGAGTGGGGAGTTTCCCTCCTCTTTCTCCTCCTCCTCCTTTAAGCCCAGGTTTTGCCAACTTGGCTCAACCTCAACCCCAGTTTCAAGGTGTGATGCATCAATCCTTGCCTCCTGCCTCCTATACGAGGCCTTGCTTTTGCTCTCTGTGCCCTCAGGTTGCCCTGTTTCTGGGGTCTCTGTAAGACCTATTGGGGGTCCAAGGCAAATGATCTGCTGGAGACATCTGGAGCGTCCCCCTCACAGAGTGATTATTTGAGGGACTTGTATTGAAAAGGCAAGCACCGTTCCTTGAACAGACTAACCAATTTTCAGGCAGGCATTGCACTCCCTACCAATTTTCCTTATCTTGTGGGTAGAGGGCCTTGTTGAGGGGAGTCACTGAGATAAAGGAGGCAGGAGACCATGGAGGGTTCAGAAAGGCAGAGTATGATTCTGCTTTAGTGGAAAATTATATTCAGTATGTCTTTTCCTTTTGGGAATATTTTTTATATTAAAATTTAGGGAGAAATCTTAAAATGGATATAAAGGGAACTAGAGAGGAATATGTTGGAAATGGAATCAGGGGCAGTTTTTTTTGTTAGATGGAGGAAAGTGAAACAGATCAGATCTACATTTTCTCCTGCTGATAGGTTCCACTTTAAACCCCAAGGGAGGGACTGACACAGAAGGTAGCCATCTGCATCTGGGTTTAGTGGCTATTTCTTACAGCTATTTTGAAAGCACTTGCAACATCCAGCTGAGTTTCTGAGACAAGCAGGAGGATGTTGAACTGTTTCTAGCATTAATTACTACCCCACAACTCCTGAAATAGTACTCTTTTCTCTGATCATCAAATCACTTCTCTGTGTTCCTTGAAGTTTCCCTTGAGCAAAGTGTAAAAATTGTTCCCAAACTACTCCAGTCTCATTTTAACAGCTGTTGTACTATCACTTGATCATTACCTCCATTCCTTCAGTGAAGCCTCTGTTTCATCTCCTTAACCCCACCTTGCCTACTACTGGTTATGTTTTCTGACTAGCCTTCTGGCCACTTGTAATGCACTGTAAAAACGCTCAACAAATTTCTAATTGTTTTAATAGAAGTAGCAGAAATAATGTTATTTAGTAGTAGTCTGGTTAAAATCTTATTTGGTAATTAGAGGTTAGTGTAGCATTCATATGAATTATGCAGTGTCAAGGAGTATCATACTTATCAGTAAATATATACTTCCCAGTTCCCTCAACTAAATGACAAAGGAATTTTTGCTATTTTCCCTCTTCCTTGCTGATACAGCTCCAGCAGGAAATCCAGATGCGTCAGAATGAGGCTTCACGAGATTCCCGGAGGAAAGACAAACTGGAGAGGGAACTGAAGCAACTTCAGACAGAACTGGACAACAAGATAACTGATATGAAGACAATGCAGCAGGCTATGAACAGGAACAAGGAAGAGCTCCTGAAACTTGAACAGCAGCTGAAAGAGCAAAAGGTATTATTGTAGATTGTTGTAATTATCTTAAGAAGATGTAGAGACTGGAAATAGTGCCTTGCAATTTTTCTGCTAAAATTCATAGCTCCTGTCTACTTCTGTTGATTAAAACCACTCGACTCTTATGATCAGTTGCAATGAGTACACTTTTATCTGCCAAATGACAAACAGGCATGAGTGTATTTATCTCCACCTGTGAGGGAGGCTTGCAATGATCTTCAAAAAAGATTCTATCCAATGTTACTCATTAAAAATTGCCAGTTCTCCCACTGCAAGCTGTTTAACAAACATCTCTTGATGTATTAAATTAATAGTGCAATGTTAATGTGATAGTCAGAGCTAATGTGAAGAAAAGATTGTAAAGCCTGAGGTGTAACTGGACTTTCTAATAGCTTTGACAGTACGGTTTATAAATCTGATCATCTGATTTGTGACACATTTGCACAGATCTTGAATGAAAGAGCCACAAAAGAATTAGAACAGTGTACAGCAAGAAATGTCAAACTCCAGCAAGAGAATGAACAACATAGTTTGGCCATTGAACAACTCATGCAAGAGAATCAGCAGAAGACCATGGAGCTGAGAGTAAGTTCAAAGTGACATTGGGCATAATCCCATTCAGACAGCCTTGTGTAAGTAACAGCTATTTTGTCTTTCTATTCTATTGTCTTTTTTGTAGTTTTTCATTTGTGCTCTGCAGGAAAACAGATCTGTCTTTCCTTAAGGAGAAAAGCACTGTATAAACCAAAGTTAGTTCCATTGTTCACCTGTTGTACCTTATCTCTTCCACTCAAGAGCACTGTTTATGCTAAAGAAGATGACAGAAACCCAATAGTTTATTGAATGTAGAAAAGTACAATCCATTCTTGTGAACAGAAGTCAATTTCTTCTGAAGTATTCTGCTTCTGTAGGCCTTGTTGGCCAAAACAATAAAAACAATTAACTAGAGTTTATCCTGAGCTGGTGTAATTGATCTGGTGTAAGGTTTCAATATCAGAAGTACTGGTTCTCAAGATTATTTTCTTATCTGTCCTATATGTCTAGAACACTCTATTAAAAGTCATTATAAAACCAGATGATCTGTGCTGAAATGTGCAAATTAATTAATTCAAGAGGTTAAAATTGTGGCATGAGGTTTTTTTTGGTAAGAGGCTTCAAGAAACATATAAAAGACGTTTATCTTTTAAAACTTTTTGTGTCTTGTTTAAAGTACAAGGATCAGAAGTTGTTTAAAGTATAAGGCTCAGAATGTCAGCTCAGAGGGATATACCATGAGATCAGTGGGATTTATGCCATGGACGTTTTTATAGAATTGCACTGTAAGATGCCCCAGGACCTCTTTTTCCACAATAGCCTTCTGCAGGCTACTTGTCTTGAACACAATGTACTATTATTTACTATTGGCATTTTTCCTCTTTATTCCCTTCTTTTGCTGCCTCCACTTCTTCTACTCCAGTAGCATTCCTTATATCTTCCATCACTCTAACAGTGAGAAGGCTTTTTAAATAAATATGCTTTATTCCCTTCCCTCCATTTACACATAAACACAGACCTTATCCCTGAAGCTACAGTTGCACAAAAGGTAATAGCTTGTTACAACGAAGTAGTGTGTTTTAATATTCACATATTGGTTCCTCTTCTTTGGAGAGAGTGATGGTCGATGCCATCTTGGAAGAAGAAAAGAAAGAATGCACTGTAGTTCTTCTGTCCTGATGTCCTTCCATGAGTGGTTGTGGCCAGCCATTTAGTGGTGTTTTTTCCCCTCTTGGTACCAAACAGTTCATGAGTCTAGAAAGAGAAGAGTCTAGATTAGGGAGAAAAGTGGATTTAAAAGGTAAGCTAGAGGATGGAGTTGTGCTCTGCAAAACCTTACAACCTCAATATCTATTGGCCTATGTTTTTTCATTGCTGTTATTAATGATGATGACAATAACAGTGAGGGAAGGTAGTTAGTTTCTTTATTAAGTGTTTCTCCATTCCTATTCCTTTCTCTTTCACAGTCAAGAGAAGATGAAGTGTCTCAGATGCGTCAAGAGATAGCAAAGCTCTCCAAAGTGAGAGAAGTTATGCAGCGAAAATTGCGTGTTGTAGAAGAGCACAAAACACAGGCAGAACATGAAAGGGACACTCTTAAAAATCAAATAAATGGACTGGAGAAAGGTAGGAGTCAGATTCAAAGAATTATATGGATATTTTATTAGAAAACACTTCTTCTTTAGTGCAGGGCTTCATAAATTGCTGTTTCCTCAGGATGCACTTGAGAGTGCTGAAAATGACTGAGTCCTATCAGTCACAAAATTTTGGCAAAAGCAGGGAGTCAGTCACGAAATGGCAGCAGGAGCAGGCCACCTGCCCAGAAATGGGCAGAGAATACTAGTGATGTTTTGGATGATGGAATCATTATGTTTTCTTTGATGTTCAAAGCAGTGGGACTTGTGAAGGAGGCAGAACAGGAGTTGACTGAGCACTGATCATATTTCCTATTACAGTATTAGGTTTGCAGCAGTGCAGTTCTATAAATGTGGCAGAAATGAAGCTCAGCATAAACATTTATGGAATTGAGCTGTCCATATCTGTTCCTGTGAATATTTTATCCATATTAGTGAAATAGAAAAGGAGAGAGAGTGAGAGCAAGAGCGAGTGAGTGAGCAAGGGAAGGAGAAGGGAAGAATCAGTGGGCTTTGACTAAACTACTCCATGAGTTCCATTGATTCAGTGAGCTTACTCTAGTTGCAGTTTACTATGCTATACAACAGGATTTCAGCCAGTTTCTTATAACTTACTCCCAATTACTTATTACTTACTCCCAATTAGGTATGTGTGAGATGGCAGCCTGAATTGTTTTCTTTTAGAAAAGATATGATTAGCATGCTTAGGAAATTGCTACTTATAGTTCCCTGCAGATTCACTGAATGCAAAAATCTTTGCAGAATATGGCAGTAGTTTAAAATTCTTATAGAAGATGGATGAATGCAAGTATAAAAAATCTTGGGTGACTCAGAAGCTTCTGACAGGTAGACTGAAAAATATTGTTTGGTGCTTGGATGACAATACAATGAAAATTAAGGGAGCAGCTATGAATATGTAGTTATGGTGCATTTTCCTTCCCTGCTCCACAGAAAGGATTCATATGAATTGAGCTCTGAAAAGAAAAAGGACAATAATTGTATGAAATGATTCCGGTTATAATAACAAAGTTGAGGTTTTAGCATTTAATCCTTTAGAAAACAGTCTCAGTTCTTTGAAAATAATCTTATAAATAGACTTCTAATCCCTATTATACGATCTGTACGTATTTCCCTCAGAGTTCCATATATCTTTGCCTCGTTTAAAAGCCAGACTGGAAGCATCAGTTCATCCTCTATTTCTTATGTTTAGTCTGTGGCCACCATTGCTTATGGAGCATAGATATAACCCCCACACGAGAGAGAGGTGTTAGTAGAAATTGCAAAGGTTAAAAAAAAACTTTTAAAAAGTGAGGGAAGAATTCCCTCAAAACAGCTCTGTGAGAACTGAGTATGCTGAGTAGCCATGGGATGCTCACTGATTTTTAAAAAGGAGAATGGAATGAAAAACTGGATGGGAGTGAGAGGGAATGAGGAGGTCATGGCTTGCAAAACCAGGACCATTCTGAACTGCAATATTTTCTTGCACATTTCACTTCCATATATTAAAGGCAGTATTACACCTATGAATAATGGTACTTGTGTAGCCAGAATGGCACAAGAGGAGATTTCAGTTTCAAGGAATCCTAAGGTTTGCAAACATACAAATCGGAAACAAACAAAACTGTAGGAAAAAGTCTTTGGGGACAATCATTCCCCTAAAATATAACAGTAGGGACTTAGTATGCTCTGTGCCCATGGAATGCTGACTGGCTGATGAATAGAGATGGAAAAAAACTGGAAACAAAACTGGTTGAGGGAATGGAACCAAGTACTGTATCTTGGACACAGATACTCCCCACAGTGGATGCTCCATGCTGCACCATTTTGTTTAAGATCTATCTGTTAAGTGTACAGTGGAATGATGAGATTTCTTTCTTGATTATCTGAGTTTTGGAAAAAGAATTCAGGTCCAAAATATAATGCTATGTCTAATCCAAGTCCGAGTTTATGATCTTTTCCTGTGCTTCAGAACTGGAAGGTGCAAAAAAGCAAGTAGAGATCGATAAGAAAGCTATAGATGAGCTGGTGAGAGAAAGGGACATATTGAATAAGGTAAGTACATCAGATTCTGAAAAATGGATATATCAGATATGTACACATAGTTCAAAACTTCTTGTGAGCTTTAGTTCACGAAAGCTTGTTACTGTAGTGGGGGCCCCTCCTAAAAATATGAGTCAAAGCATCTCTATTGTTTAGTCCACAAGCTTCCCAGTATAATTTTTTGGTCGTGTAAATTCGTCAGGATACTATGAGGGATATGCAAAGAGAAAAAAAGTTACACATGCAGCTTTTATTTTAGTTACTATTTTGTTTCACAAAATACCACAGCTGTAAAAAAGCAAGGAGATTTATGACCCCACATGATCTGAAAATGGAAGTATCGCTGTATTTGCATTCAATAAAGAACTGGTATTTCTTTCTCCATAATAGATATTTGTTGAAGCATGTTTGATGAGTAGATATGGGATAAAAAGTATGATAGGATTTATGCTACTGTTACTTGTATTTGTGAAATGAAATAGCCACATATTAACTATTTATCAGAAGCCTCAGAAGTGGCTGTATAATTAAAGGATAGTACATTCTTGATCATAAGTATAAAAATGGATTCTCTTATAAAGCAAGATATTCTTCTTAGTTTGGAAGACCAACTGAGTGAAGGGTACAGATTTTGAACATATTGGAAACTCTGCATGAGTGACAGCTATTTATAACCATTTCAAAAATCTAGGATGATATTCTGTTTCTCATATCATAATTTAGCTGCCTTTTGGGGATACAGTGGTTGAAATCCTATTTTACAACTCTGCAATTGGAATGGTGATGATATTAACAGAAGAAGCAGCAAATTGCATCTACGTATTTAGTATTTATTATTAAATATTCATTGCATTGTGTATGAGTCATGTGTGGCCTGAAATTGCCTTTAATCAGTGGTGATTTGCCATTAATCAGCAGTGCTTGCCACTGATTTTCACAATTAGGCACACAGAGCAGCACAATAGGATTTCAGGCAGCATATAGCTCTATCTAGTTTCCTCCAGGTTGCCCCAAGTCCTGCAATCTTTGCCCAACACAGCTGTGCCTATCCTGTGACATAATTTTAATTTGTAGTAATCAAAAAGCATGTGTGCCCATTGTCTGAGTACAGGGACGGGCTGAAAACTTACCAAATGGACACATAGAAAGCCCAGTGAGATAAAAAGGCAGTGGGAGGTGAGGAGGGGAAGAGGAAGACCACTGGAGAATGAGAAAGAGCAATGCATGGGAGACTAACTGTTTCTAATTTTTGTGAAATAGGTTGTTCTGGAACTGAATAAATAAATCATTTCTATAAATAAAGAGAGGCAACTGCTACTTAGGCAAAAGAAATTATTTAATCTTTATCACTGTTCTTAAATTTCTTAACACTGTTTATAACCTCTTTGTTACAGCAACATGGCTTCTTGGAAATAAAAGCCATTTTGCTTTCTCTTGGACTAGGGAGAGATATATTGGGAAAGGTATTTTGTCTATGAGGATCTAGCAGCACATAGTCTTTCAACATGCTTTAAAAATTATTCCCTTTCATGACTGTAGCTGTGGGAGGCTGCTGTCAGAAGTTGGAGAAAATCTTGAGTAGGTGGGTTTTGTTAATAATAATAATAATAATAATAATAATAATAATAATAATAATAATAATAATAATAATAATAATAATAATAATAATAATAATAATAATAATAATAATAATAATAATAATAATAATAATAATAATAATAATAATAATAATAATAATAATAATAATAATAATAATAATAATAATAATAATAATAATAATAATAATAATAATAATAATAATAATAATAATAATAATAATAATAATAATAATAATAATAATAATAATAATAATAATAATAATAATAATAATAATAATAATAATAATAATAATAATAATAATAATAATAATAATAATAATAATAATAAAGGAGAGGGGGAAGAGAAACAACCAAAGAAATACTCACTCTCTCTCCTATGCCTCTGATCCCTACTCCCATGACTGCTTTTCATTAAAAGGAAGAGTTAGGGAACTTACACATATCTCCATTGTAACATCAAGTTGTGGTCTGATTATTTGGTAGTATTAGATTTTAGTATGAAAGCTCATTTGATAAAAATACTGACAATCTTGTTCTCCTTTTTGCAGAACTTGCTCAAGGCTGCTAGTGTCACTCAGAAGCAGATGAACCTTGTTAAGCTCCACGAACAGTCAAAGAAAAACCTTGAAGAAGAAATTCATAATTATAAGGAAGAGGCTCTGAAACAGAGGAAGATTATCTTTCAGTTGGAGAAGGAGAGAGACCGGTATATCAATGATGCTAGTGAGCTGACACAAAAGGTACGAGAGGTGTCTTTACAGGCACAATTCTTTCTTTCAAAGATGACAAAAGGATCTTTTTAGTTTTTGACTCTATTGAATAGATTCTGTTATCATTTTGACAGTGGCCTTTAGGACACAAGAATCTCAACAAAATTGTTATGTAATCTAATCAGACATGTGATCTCATGTAATTGGCACCTTGTAAAATCACAGTGGTAGCTGCCACAGTTAGACCACCATACATTTTTACATATATCAATGGATGTTTTTAGCACATATTCTGGTATCTGCAGTTAATATCTTGAAAATTCTCAGCTTGAAAAACATATATTTGGGCAAAAATGTGTTTAAGTAGTGCATGCTAGGGGTGAATTGTATTTTTTTGTTTTGTATTACATTTGTTGTAACTGCCCAGGGTAGTGCCTTGGCGCTATTGGGGGCGGGATATAAATTGAATAAATGAATGAATGAATGCATGAATGAATACTTCAAAAGGTGTTATTGGCATCAAGTTGCATCTGACTTATGGCAACCTAATAAGGTTTTAAGGTTTGTGAGGTATTTAAGGAGTGGTTTTACAAGTGCCGTTCTTCAATGTGTTTCCATGGCAGAGTAAGGATTTGAACCCACATCTCCTGAGTCCTCGTCCATCAATCTACCTACTACATCATAGTGGCTTTCAAAGTTGCTAAAATCTTTAAACTTAACTATCATGAGGAGTTTTAGAGTTTACATCAAGCATCTTCAATTCCAGTGCTTGGAATCTAATTCTGTGATAGAATTAAAATAGGAAAATTAACATCTGCTCTTCTAATTAGCCGTCTTTGGTAGAGCTGTTATTCAGGACTAAATAATTTTACATATCCATGTTTTTGTCATGGATGTGGGACATATGAGCAAAATTCGTGGATTTTTGTAAATAGGCAGAAACGTAGAAACACAAGCCTGGAATAAGAAACTTGTCAGAAGGACTAGGAGCTGTGTTGAATCCTATTCTCATTTGTTTATCAGGAAGTGCTTTACAGAAGCAAATAGACAAATGATGCTTAGAAGATAACTTGCCTCTAACTGGTTGTTCCATTTGTGGGTTTTTGAATGAATGGATTTTTTTTAAAAATCTCTAGCTGCTTGATTATGTGAGGCGAAAACTTGCCCTCTGAATTTCTTTCAATCTTTCTTTGGATTCATGACTCCAGATATATTTTTAAATACTGCTGCTATCCCCAGCTGCTAAAATTCACATTAAGACAATTTTAGTCTCCCATGGCTTGAGCTGATATTGCTCAAACGTTTTTTGATTATTCCTCCACTGGTTCCTTTGCAAATAAGAGAAAGCGTATAATATTACAATTAATCATTTGTGATTTGTAAATGGATAGAGTCTAAGGCCCTCCTCCCATGCTCATGCTCAAAGTATGTATTTCTTGGTAAGCAAACATTAATATTAATATTAATACTTAATTATTTTAAAAACTTCACACTTGTATTTTCTCTTAAGAATTCATACTGGCTAACAGCATAGCTGCCATAAATAAGTGATCAAAACAATCCTTTGTGATTTAAAGCCCAAAGATCAAAGCATTGAAACAGCAGTGGAGAATAAACATGTAGTTGTAATGACAATGTTTCAAATGTTCCAATGAGAAATGTTAGAAGACAACAGATTACAAAGTAAATGCCTGCCTAAAAAGGAGGGTCAATAATGAAGATATGAGAAGGAGGTTCCAGAGCCTACATACAGCCAAGCTACAGTGCAAGGCAAATAATGTGAATGTCAGCAGAAAATCTGTAGAGATAGATGCTATAACCAGTCTGTTTTGTTCACTCACCCTGGTTAGGTAGAGCTTTTTTGTTTATTTGACCTTCTGAACTGTAATTTGCTCCAATATTTGCTTGAGAGCCTGCTGAAGTATTCTCTATATAAAACTATATTACTGATTGGCATGAGTCTGTTTTATTTGTTATTTTGCCTACTCACTTATGGTTGTAACTTTGTCTGACATGTTATACAATGGTTCTTGCCATTATATAGTTATTGTTGATGTCAGATTTTCATGTCTTTTACCCCATAAAAGTAAGTAGGTTGTGCTTTTTCCCCTTTTTGGTAACCTTTTCATAATGCATATTGTTCACTGAAGTTAGTGTTCCACCTCTCTGTCCCTCCATTTGGGAAGGCTTGAGGTATCTACATGAGTCTTTTATCCAAATATTCAATATACAATGAAAAATATGGGTAAAAATTCTGGTTTCCTGACATTGCTCCTCCCCCAGTATCAGCTATTTTTTCATGCAATACTTTTGATTCTGATATTCCTTTTTCTTTCTTTCTTTCTTTCTTTCTTTCTTTCTTTCTTTCTTTCTTTCTTTCTTTCTTTCTTTCTTTCTTTCTTTCTTTCTTTCTTTCTTTCTTCTTTTCATGGCTTGTCTTTCTCCTTATAAAGTATTCCCTTAGGGCACGTCTATCCAATGCTACTATCTTGAAACTTGTGTTTGTTGCACTGTGCTCCTGACCACTACACTGTTATAGTGGATAACAGGTATTATCTCTGTCACTTAGGTAAAGGTAAAGGTTTATCTTGACAATTTTTGTGTAGTCGTGTTCAACTCTAGGGGGCGGTGCTCATCCCCATTTCCAAGCCATAGAGCCAGCGTTTGTCCGAAGACAATCTTCCGTGGTCACATGGCCAGTGCAACTTAGACACGGAATGCTGTTACCTTCCCACTGAGGTGGTCCCTATTTATCTACTCGCATTTGCATGCTTTCGAACCGATAGGTTGGAGGAAGCTGGGACAAACGACGGGTGCTCACTCTGTCGTGTGGATTTGATCTTAGAGCTGAAGATCTACAGACCTTACAGCATAGAGACTTCTGCGGTTTAACTCGCAGCGCCACCACATCCCTTACACTTACGTCTCTGTCACTTACAAATAAATAAGATAATGATGATGTTCATTGCCATCTTCAGAAAGCTTAATGTTTCTATGTGTGCTTTTTAGCCAAATGGAAAATGTTTATTGGCAAATAAAAATGGTTGATTCTAACCACTGGTCCTTGGGTAGGGCTAGTTTTTAGTTGAACATTTTTAAATTCCTGAGGAGGAATGTTGAACAGCAGACCAGTACTTTGTGAGCAGTAGGTTTTTGAATAATATAGTAAATGGTAAAGAAACAGAATGCTAGGATTCAAGCCAAAGGTCTAGCTCTCCATAACAATCAGTTTGTGGGAACGGGTAAAAGCTGGCAGATGTAATCTTGGCCCAGTAGTATTAAAGTCCTTAGTTAAGCTTCTCCTAGCCACCTCCCACTAGCAGTCTAAATATGACAGATGAGTCCATGCTGTTATGTTCACCCTGAATATTTACTTTTAAAAATTGTCTTGATTCTAGCCACCATTTATCCAGTGATATTCTAGCTTTTCAATGCCCAGACATTTGTCATTAATCTTCCCCTATCTATAATAACAGAATATAAGTGTGTCTGTTTTTGCTATAGATCTGAGTCTGTGAAACCTAGATAACTGCAACTTGGTATGCATTCTAAGGGGACTCCAAGGATGTGCATCACAGGGTATTTCATTTTAAAAATGAGTTAATTAAGATGCATGTAACTTGCTGGACTACATTCAGTTATTAAGTAGCAAACCGCAGTCACCTCAGGAGGAAGCAAATTCCTCAAGAATGGTACCCTCATTCAGTTGAAAGCCATGACCTTTAAGTCCTGTCAGTTTTCAGTTGTTTTTGGCCAGGGCTGAAATCAGCTTACCGAAGCTGACCCACTGGTGCAGGTTCACTTCTGCTGGTGCAATATAATTCCCTCTCCTATGTTCCACATGCACATGAGAGAGGAAATAAGGTGAGATTAAATGTTCCCTTCTGAGCCTCTTTCTTTTTAAGTCAGTCATGTATCTACTTACCCAGCAGTGAGTGCTATTAAACTCAACAATACTTCTGATTAGGCATTTATAGCAGTCATTCTCAACCTTTTTTTAGCCATGGCCATAAACACAATCTGGAAGAAATATATGCCAAATAAGGATTGTGTAAGTCTCATAACAAGCCATATAAGGTGGTCTGTGAAGATTTTTTTCCAGTCTGTATCCCTCTTCAAATATGCCAGGGCCTCCCAGGGAGCCAAATAACCCCCACTGAGAATGGCTGATTTATAGGATTGCATTATTAATAGACTTTTAGGAAAACAAACATCATATTCTTACAACCTTTTCTTGATTTGTGTACTTGCATACTGTGTGCGGAAGCATGCTACAGCTCTTTGGATCCGAAGAGTATGTTAATTATTCCATTTCTTGACTTTGGTATATGTCACACAACTCTGTCTCAATGTAGATACAAGCAAGGAACTAAAGTATCATACATATAAATAGCAAGCGTTAGAAAAGTGCTGAGAAGGAGCTCAGTGTTAAATATACCGTTATTAGATCTCTGTAATGCCCAGCTAGATGAAGATGTGTGCAAAGTTGAAAGCTAGCTTGTTTGTGATTTCTTTTCTTTTCTTTTGGTGGTCTAATATAGGTATCACTCACCCTTGCATTTGAGTTGCACACAAAGACCACACCTCTTTTTCTTTTCAGTGATAGGTGATTTAATTGATCTTTGGATTCCCCTCAGTCTTCCTTCCCCTCTTTGTGTGCATGTGTTTTAAAAATAAAAAACTAGATATTCATTAAAAGGCATAACCTACCTGCCAAATTGCTTTGTGTAGGAGACTGAATGAAGTTACTAAAAACAGTAACTTTCCAAACCTTGAGAGTACTACTAGGTTAGTGAAGAATGTCTGGGAACATTTAATACTATAGTCATATTTCTATATCTTTCAGGTATTTTCCTATGTAGAATTTGCAGTTGTAAAACATAATAAATGAGTTGCTTTTTAGTTTATTTATTTATTTTTTTCTTAGACAAAATAAATAGTATTTATGGTTTCAGCTAGGGAAACTCACTGCTCCTTCTGGCAACATTAGAATTAATAGCTTACTCAAGCCAGACCATGTGTGACACAGG